AATGACAATCATTAGTTCACGTCTCTCGTACATAATGAATCGCTCAGGGAAAAAAAAAATACCATTTTGATCCTTTACTTGATCGTATTTGATAATTGATCAGTTCCTATTCTCAGTGACTTTGTTAAATACTTTTGATCACAGTTTTCATTTTTCCTAATCACAAATTGGCAGCAACAGTGTTTGATAGAGGGTCTTAATAAGATTTTTGTGAGCCGTTAGGCGTAAACTTGACAAATTTTAACCTTAGCTCGTAAAAGAGTTAACGGTAAAAACATTTCTAGTGGCAACAATGGAAAGATATTAACCGTTAGCCGTAAAAAGCCATGCCAACACTCTTTTACGACCCTCTTGATACTTAGAGGGGGTATGCAAGGGGTTCATCGGGAGATTTTGCCCCCTATCCCACAATTCACGATAGTAAAACATTCTGGCCAGAATGCCCTTAAATTCAAATTTGACACAACCAAAAGCCCCCCACCCCTCCCATTTGAAAAATGTTCCCAATGCCTCAGATTCTAATAAATAGAAAATAACTTGTGAAATATCTATAGTGTCAGCTGCATAAGATAGCAAAAAATTACGGTAGCAATCTTTTTATTGTCAGTTACTTACCACTGATCTAAGACGTCATATACTTCAAGAGGGTCTCAATGGGATTAACCGATAGCCATGAAACGGCCACAAGAAAATCTAACCGTTAAGCGTACAAATCGTCAAATTTTAACCTTTATTCGTAAAAAAAAATCAAACCTCAAAAAAAAAATTTCTGGTAACAAATTATGAATTGAGTTGTTAAAGATTTCTGGTAACAACTCATGGAATGATGTTAACCGTTACTAGTAAAATGGCCAAAATTTTAACCGTTAGCCGTAAAAGCCATCACCCCATTGAGACCCTCCCTCTACTACAGTGCGCCCATAATTCTCAAATGTGACTTGTTTGGCTTTGACAGTGTAGCCTTGGAAAACAAAATTTCCCCAATTTGGAGAAATCAGGTAATGTTGACATAAATACTAAATTAAATGGGAAGCAAGCTTGTCAAGCTTGCAATTGTTTGTTATTTTTCAAAGACAAGGAAGAACCTAAGCCATATATCATTTTTATCATTCAAATGATCGCTGGGTGTTAGTGCCCTCTAGTTACAAGTTTCTTGCGCTTGTCTGAGGTAAAGAGGAAACAAAAAGGTTGAACAGCGCGAATTGCCGTTGGGAGTTTTCAGGAAAGTCCCTTCCGGATGCGTGGATCTTACAACGTAACTGTAGTGAAGTCCATTTCCCCTACCTCTCTCCCCTCCTCAAAAAAAAATATAACTATTAAGTATAACTATTGATTATTACTGAAAGTCAAGCTACCTCCTCATTTACTTGCTGTCATATTTCAGTCATTGGATTAACGCCTTCAAAGGTAAGACCAGTGATGTGGTTATGTTCGAGCAAATTACCGATCCATTCCGTCCGTTTTCTTTTCTTTTTTTTTTATCTATCATATCAGTTACTATTTTTGTCTTCGATCATGCAAATCACACCCGCAAGAAAATGAAAAGTTCATGTGTACAGTGGGCCAATTTTCACGCACAGATAGCTTACTGTTTAAAGACAGAAGCTTTAGTTGTCGCTCAATCTTATCGATCTCGTGATGCAAATCCTAACGTACTAAAAGGGATGAACACTGAAGCCTGATGTTTTCGGATAAACAAAGTAAGATGTGTCATTTTTGGATGCTCAAATTCATCATTAGTTAGAATAGTGTGACGTGCCAAACCAAAATAAAGTCACTAAGTTTTGTTGGTATTTTTGGCTTCGATCATGCAAATCACACCCGCTAGAAAATTAAAAGTTCACGAAGGCAATGAGTCCATTATCACGCAAAGATAGCTTAGCGTTAAAAAAAAAAAAAACTTAGGTTGTGCTGTGATCTATCTTGTGATGAAAATCAAACCTTTCAAAGGGGTAAACACTAAAAGCTGACATTTCCTATTAAATAAAAGAATAACTCTTCTCATTTTCCATGTTCAACTACATCATGAGCGATAAAAGTGTGACGTACAAAACCGAAATACTGTGTTCTTATTGTTTGAGTGGAAGGGCCGGAAGGAAAATTAGGTCAATAAGCATTTTAACATATGACCACTAACCGTTTTCAATATGCAATTTTATTTCGAGTAGCCTAGAGGGGGACGGGAATAACCTAAAACACACGAGACCTAGATACCTAGATACCTAAAACACTCTGACAGCGGAAGTTGAAGGTTGAGAAAAGGCCTGAGTGTAATTCATTATTTTTATTGTTTCATTTTCAAAGCATCAGCCACATTGTCAAAATCTTGGTTAGCGCGATTGAAAATCTTTCCTAGTCACTCGATTTTTATCAGCTTTTATTAGTTATTTAGTAACTGTAGAGAGAAAGGCTCTTATGGCAGAGCCTAGTAGCTGCTTTTTCGAGCTTTGTTTTTTTTGCAATATGAAGTTGTGTCTTGTTTCGAGCGTTAGCCCTTCATTAAAGCGGTTGAAGGCGCGATTGAATCGCCACCACAGTGAAATAAATTCGTTATTAAGCGGTTTTCTCAAATCTCTGTAGCTTTCTACAGTATAATTTATCCTCATTAACTAATGTTATTGAGTATCGTTCAATTTGAGAAATTGATGATCATACAACTAAAATCAGACCTTTATTTATGTTGTGGACTGTCCCTAGCTGAAGGAAATCCGTGGTGCTTGATCACGTGGTTTTCCAGTGGCTATGACTCTACTTCAGCTATCAACTTGAATCTGTTTAGGAGGGTTGAACGAACGATTCAGAGATCGCGCTAGATTCGAAATGCCATATTTCTACTTGTACACAAGCGTTTCATTGTCGAGATACCCTTCTCTTAAACTTTTGGATACTAAGGGCGGTTTCTACGGTACATATTTTTCTAAAAGCCGTAATCTGTTTTTTTTTCGTTTAAGCGCCAGAGTCTCGCACAGGAAGATAAGTTGTGAGGCTGCGCGCTCACGGAGAGAGATGGTTTAATTTTCTCAGAGGAGTGAAACTTTCTTAAATTCACTGTTATTGCATTCATAGTATAAGCGTACCTTACCGTTGAACGGATGCTTTATATCTCCACCGTTAAATTTCTTTCTTCAAACCGTTAAGGTTTTATACAATATATTTCAACCTCAGTAGTTAAGATATTGTTAGGCATTGTTTAATTTGAGAAACTTATGGTTTCAGCAATCACGTGATCAAAAACTAACATCAATCCCATATTAAGACATATTCATAATGCAGAATGATCTTTACTGATCAGTGTCAGCAGAGGTGGTCCGAGTTCACGTCTCGAGAAAAAAACAACCGATTAATTCATGAAAGCGTCACGGGTTGTGTGACTTGGCGTTAAGTTACGAGCGTTGAACTCGTTATTAAGAATAGAATGGGGAGCGAAATATGGTCGATTTATCACGAGAAATATTTCGAGAAATCAACATTTAACACGTAAAATCAATAAAAGTACACACATCTTGTGTGTCCATATCAGTTTCTGACGATTTCTGCTGTTTTAAGCTTACTTTGCCATCACTGTTATTCCCATCCCCACAGTGACACCTCGCATTAATCGAGCGTCCCAATCAACCAAGCAGACAGCTTTCCCCGTGATAGGTCTGCAATTCCTGATCCATAATAGGAATGCACGATAGAAGCGGCACCATGATCGTGCATGCTATACCACTGGAAAATACCACAGAAACCTTTTTCCAGCCGCTCGAAAATTGTTGATGACTTCCCTTACTACAGTGGACTTACCAGTTTCCCCTTGGCCAGTCACTAAAAGTTATGACCCTTACAAGCCAAGCATACAATCTACGCCCGTCCGTGAGATAAGTGAACGCTCATATTGACGACATACCAGTAACCATCAAACTACTCTAGTGAATCTTATGGAGAACGAGTTGACAAAGGAAGAAAAAATTATGAAATAACATAATGAACATCACTTGACGATATGCGTGCTCAAGGGATTGGCTGAACTAATCGAAATTTTATTGTCCTTTATAATGAATTTCCGGTGACTAAATAGACATTAACACCAACATAACTGTAAGAGGGTAGATTAAGGGTAATTCGGTCAAATCTTGCGGGCTTTTCTTTTATCCAGTTTAGTGACACCGCCTTGGAAACTAAATGCAATCGACGTTAGGGCATCATGTGGACAATTATATTTACGACACAGCATCTAAGACTTCACAAACAACGTGCGTGTTAATAAAAGTCAATTTCACGTGGCGAAATATCTGCCCTTGCCATGAATTTCAAAAAGCAATCTACGCGTAGGAAAAATAATATCTATATCGGATTCCGACGTCAAACTTGCAAAAAGCTACAATACCTAAATATTTATCTTAGGTTCTCACTTGAAAATGTGTTCTGTATTAATACAAGCTTTTCGCCCGTGATTTGAAAATGGATTAATCGATCCTCAAAATGAAATGTTAGGTTATTCACGTTGAACCTTTGTCTTTGTTTTACTCTTTCATGTTTTGCGTCGCGGTCTCTTCCCCTTCGACAGTTTTGTAGAGAAAATAATTCAAGCTTTTAAGCAAGACATTAAAAAATGTCTTGTATTATTCATGAACAAGAAATAAGGATGCCTAATCCTGAGGAGTTTCATTACATATACGTTTCGACGGCCAGAACAAAAAGTTTTCGAGTTTCCTCACGTGATTAGTAAAACCGTAAGTTCTGTTTCTTTTTCAAGAAAAAGAAGATCGAAGTTACTTATTCCCAACAGTCTCACACCAGAGTGAATCAGTGAGCGAGTGAATATTTGCATATCAGACTTTCCACAGTAAACCCATTTCTCCGTATCGCGTAACCACAAGTTAACAACATGATATCAAATCATAGTTTAATGCCGGCCATCAGGGAAACTTTTGTGAAATAGATTATTATTAGAATTTCAGCTAAAGGTTTACAAATGTTTTGAGATGTCAAAAAAAAAAAAAAAAAACAGAATCCGGTTAACTTTACTGAATTCGTTTTACTCAAAAGCCTGACGTAGGTCAACATTGTTTCGTGCTTATTATATCAGAATATAATTTTTGCGTGAAAAACAAAAAATTATTGAGTACATAAACAGCAACTCCTCCTGAGAATATTGGAAAAGAAAGCACAAAAAATTGGAATAAATCTCCCGTAACCTGGGATAGCTGTTTTTTTAATGTCAAGGAAAAACTGGATAGAGTATTTTCTCTTCTTTTTTCTATTTAATTTATCCATCTAAAAGTCTTTTAACTCTGTTCCCTTCGAGTTCTTGTCATTATTTACTCTGTCGGGGTCTTTCTTCCTGTAAGAAAAAATTTTAAACAACCCAATTTATTATTACCTCAATTAATATTTTGGATATAAAGCAAATACCATTATACCAAGCACAATATGTAAAAATAAGTGGCTATTACTTGTATCTCATTGGTAGAGAGGCACCTGTGAGATTCTATATTTTACACCAGAGAGCGAAGATAGTAACTCACCAAAAAGGAAAAAAAAAGTGTGTAGATATACATATATATATCTTTATCTATCTATATATATATATATATAGATAAAGATATACATTAAACTAGCCTGATGCTCAAGGTAACAAAGGATCCCCATCCAGTCAACGACCAATAAGTCATAGCCATCTTCACATCTAATTTAACTTTAATTTATGAAATACCTGTTCTCACTGAGTCTTGCCGCTGCTTGTCAAACTCGAGTCTCACATCATCTCCAATCAGCGTAAACGACGCCCACAGAGACACTTTGTTCAAGCCGTTTTTTCTCATCCACTTCATGGCCTGATGAAGGGATTCACTGGCACTTTCTCCTTCAATGAGGTGTTCGTAGAACCGACTCATCAGCTTCTCTGTTGCTGAGTCTGGAATGGCCCACAGCGCAACCAATACAGAGCGAGCACCAGATCCTAAGAACGCACGGGCAATTCCTATAACTCCTTCGGCTCTTATCTCTCCACTTCCACTGTGACAGCAGCTAAGTACCACCAGTTTAGCTCTGACTTTCACTCGTGAGACATCAGCCATCGTCAACATGTAAGCTTCTTGCGGTGGGATAGCGTTTCCACTGTTGGGAGTAGGAATGAAGGAGAGTGCAATTTCTCCTCTTTAGGCGTTACCATGAGCAGCAAAATGTATCAAGCTCACTGAACTTATTCGCTCAAGTACCGCCTGCTTCGTTTGCTTTCTCTTCTATCAGAGGCGGAACACCCACCAGTCGTCCGACCATCTCCGCTTCTTTTCTTGCACCTGGCAATGGTTGCAGCCCATCAACCTTGGGATTGCCTATAATCAAGGCACCAGTGTTGCTGTGATAGTCCTCTGGACTATCTTGAATGATCTTTAGCGTCGTCAAAGAAGGAATGACACGGATCCTATGAGTCTCCGATAGGTATTCGGCTCCCTCCTTTTCACTCAGGGCAGCAAAAGGAACTTTGTACAACCTGCGGTCAGGAACAATAATGACTTCAGGCTCCTCAAGAAAATCATTAACGGGAGCAATAAACATTTTGTAACACAAAGATAGACTTGAAATCACTTTCTCGTCCTCGTCCTCGTCCTCTTCCACGAGTCACAATCTTGCTGAGCTCTTTTGTGCGGGAGAGAGAGATTGCAGTTTAATCGTATTTAAAGACCGATCTTCACAATCTTTAGTAGGCAAAATACCAAGACTCCGAAATTATCATCCAAAATTGACTCAAAGACAAATCTTTGGGCAACCCAGCCTGAACTAGATTCTCTTCTGGTGATACTCTTCTATAGTGAAGGACTCCACTTGTTTTCAAGATCCACAAATGCAGACGATTCTGAACATAAGAAATGTACAGACAAGTACAGTTATTTTTCTTTCTTAAAATGTTCTCAATGCCAACCCAAGATTGTGGATTAGCAGAGATGTGCGTTTCAACCGAGTACTTCTCTGCCATTAAGTCTGATAGGCCTCTAGCTCGACCCAACTCCTCAACATAAAGAGCATCCCGAGCATTTCCGGTGTCACAAAGCAAAGTACAAAGCAGCTTGTGGGGAACATTCCTGTGTGCTCCAGAAATGATGTTTTGAACTGATCATTGGCGCCCAAAAATATCTCAGCTCCTCATACTTTTCAATGCACATATAGAGACACAACAAGGAGTCTTTGATTTTATATTGATATAAATACAAAACGGCGTAACCTAGAAGGATATCAAACTCTTTTCTTCCATCTCCAATATCTCTAAATATCCATAAAGCTTTCTCCAAGCATACTTCCGAAGCTTCAAAATCACCAACAGTTCTAAACACAATTCCAAGGTTTCCGTAGTCAGTTGCCTCCCCTTCTCTGTGGCCAATTTTAGTTCTGATGACAAGCGCTTTTTGGTGATACTCTTCAGCCTTGTCGTATTGACCAAGCGACCCAAACACAGTACCTAGGTTTCCATAACATGATGCTTCCCCTCCTCTGTCGCCAATTTCAGTTCTGATGACAAGCGCTTTTTGGAGATACTCTTCAGCCTTGTCGTATTGGCCAAGCGACTCAAACACAGTACCTAGGTTTCCATAACATGATGCTTCCTTTGGTCTGTCGCCAATTTCAGTTGTGATAACAAGCGCTTTTTGGAGATATTCTTCAGCCTTGTCGTATTGGCCAAGCAACTTAAACACAGTACCTATGTTTCCGTAGTTAGTTGCCTCCCCTTCTCTGTCGCCAATTTCAGTTCTGATGACAAGCGCTTTTTGGTGATATTCTTCAGCCTTGTCGTATTGGCCAAGCGACCCAAACACAGTACCTAGGTTTCCATAACATGATGCTTCCTTTTGTCTGTCGCCAATTTCAGTTGTGATAACAAGCGCTTTTTGGAGATATTCTTCAGCCTTGTCGTATTGGCCAAGCAACTTAAACACAGTACCTATGTTTCCGTAGTTAGTTGCCTCCCCTTCTCTGTCACCAATTTCAGTTCTGATGACAAGCGCTTTTTGGTGATATTCTTCAGCCTTGTCGTATTGGCCAAGCGACTTAAACACATTACCTAGGTTTCCATAACATTATGCTTCCTTTTGTCTGTCGCCAATTTCAGTTGTGATGACAAGCGCTTTTTGGTGACATTCTTTATACTTGTCGTATTGGCCAAGCGACTTAAACACAGTACCTAGGTTTCCATAACATGATGCTTCCCCTTCTCTGTGGCCAATTTCAGTTGTGATGACAAGCGCTTTCTGGAGATACTCTTCAGCCTTGTCGTATTGGCCAAGCGACTCAAACACAGTACCTAAGTTTCCATAACGTGATGCTTCTCCGCTTCTGTCGGCAATTTTGGTTGTTATGGCAAGGGCCCTCTCAACATATTCCTTTGCTTTTAGGCTTTCGCCAAGTTTATAAAAGCATAATTCCATACTCTCTGTATAGGTCAAACAGTTTCCTTCCGTATCTTTCCGCATTTATGTAGTCAGAGATATGACGATAAGCGCTGAAAAGAACGGTATAGATGTCGCTGTAAAATTGTAGCAGTGCTGAATCAAATTGGTCTTTGCTGTTTTGATTGGTGCCATTTAACAAAATCAAACATTCGCTGCATATCTCAATGGCTTTCTGAATGCGATCTGAGTTGAGCAAGAACAGGGCAACAAATAAGGCGATGCTCATGAAAGGTGTCATGGCCTCTGCTGTTAGGTTTCCATTGCAATCCTCTCCTGTTATCAGGGAAACATTATTTTAGTAACACAATACTAAATGGTCGATAATCTGGATTAATAACGAGTCACTTCAAACAGGAACACACATGTTAAGTTACAAAAACGGGCTGGGTCGATTACACCCGGAAAGTATTTGTAACAAGCTGAAAGTGTTAGAATTCCCAATATCCACTTAAAAACAAAAAAAAAAAGAAGAAGTCGGTTGGTCACCTTTCAAAAAAATAAATTTCTTAGAGTTTTTGTTGTAATATTCAGTTTTTTCTATCTTTGTCCACATTTTACTTAAGTGATAGACAGTTGTGCCTGACTTAAACTACATTCATATTTGAAAATCATTTGATATCAAGCTTAGAGGTCGTTTCAAAAGTTTCATTGTTTCTAAGAATTTGTAACAGGATTTGTGATCGAACTAAAAATAAAATATAAGTTCTAGTTTCTCCATTCTTAGTTTATTGATTTTGTTATACCGGCTGTCAAAAGGTATTTGCAAAACAGAGCCTTAGGATCACTGAATTTTATTTCTTATTCATGAATAATACAAGAATGATTAATGAGAAAATTGCTCTAGTTTTCTTGAGAACTATTCGACAGTTTAAATAATGTACCGTCCAAAGTGTCTGTACTGGAAATTCTCTCGCTCGATTTTATTGAAACATCGTTCTTTTGGTTCATTACCGTTTTGTTAAAGTGCAAAAGAGATAATCACAGATGTAAGTTAGTGTTAATTTTACTTTGAGCACTGATTCCGAGTTAGCATTCCCCGACTTTTAAGCGTTTAAATTTTTTAGCCCGAAATAAGACAGATAAACCTCTAACTACAGTTTACTTGGAACTTTCCTGACATTCCTCAATATTTAAAAATTGCAAAGATTGTTCATTTTAAAAGCAACGAGCGCATTTATCCGATGAATGTCCCTGAAAACGAATATTTTTTTTAGCAGATGAGGATCATTAATAAGATGCGAGACCACAAAGGTTTGATATGATCGCCTTATAACAAATTCATTTAACTTCGGTGGCGAATTTTACACAACGTTACAGTACTTTAAAGTGACAGGACAAATATTAACCGGGAAAACAGGACTGATTCATTCCAGGCTTTGCCATTAATTAAAACATTACTCATGCAAAATTACTCTAAATAACAATATTCTAGTGCTATTTACTTGGTACATGACAGAATGCTGGATATCTTTTTACGTGTTCTTACCAAGTTGTCGACTTCGTGGTTGATGCTTTTGAAAGTGAAACGATAGAAAATACTTAAATGAAAGACAGTTGTGACTTTTCCTTATTTTCCGAAACCTCCGCCTCTTGACTTACCTTAACCGCGACTATTTTGTGATTCAGGTAAGAACACAAACTTTGCAAATCAATGATTTTTCATCGCGAGTATTCAAAGAAGCAAGCAAGGAATGTTATCAGTATAAGATGTAGTTTCCCTTTTTCTTAGTTTTCGTTTTTTTTTTTTATTTCGACCGTCAAAACGTTTATGTAATGAGACTCCTTAGGATCAAGCATCCTAATTTCTTGTTCATGAAAAATACAAAATCGTTGTTTGTATTTTGACTCACCTTACGAGCTCGTCAAATACGGACACAACTCGTAAAAATACTCAGCAACACTACACACCAAAACCTCCAATAAGTTATTTATTATCCAACTGCTTTTTTTTCCGCTGAGTCTTTCAGCTCATTCCTCATAAGGCGGGAAAAGCAAAGCGGAGAGAGAAGCGTATTGTGCGCAGCCGACTGGTTAGCCTGGTTTTTTTTTTCAGTACAAAATAACCAACGGTCCGAATACACGTATAATATCGTAGGATGTTTATACTCTATTCGCGCGTTATTTATTCTCTACTTTGTGCAGTTGGATAATAAACCTCAGTACCACAGCGTTCTGGAAACTTTCCTGACATTCTGCAATATGGAAAATTTGAAAAGATTATTCTAGCAGTTTATTACCAAGAAATGAGCTTACTTATCATGCCAGTGTCGCTAAAATCAAACCTTTTCATAGTTGATGAGGACGATTGGTAAGATGTGAAGCCATAAAGGTTTAACGAAGTCGCTTTGAAATAAATAAATTTCACTTTGGCTGAGATTTTTGCATTACATTGCATGACTTGATAGGCACAGGACAAATATTAACAAAACAGCATTCATTTTAGGCTTTTCCATTAAAACGTTACCCATGCAAAGTTACTCAGAATAACAGTAGACTATTACTAATTCATTTGTAGACGATAGAAAGCTGTATACCCTTGTATTTAACATGTCTACTCGTACTCACCAAGTTGTGGACTTCGTAGTGGATGCTTTTGAAAGTGAAAGCACAAAAACAATGAAACACAGTCGGGACTTTCCCTA